GTGGGGACGGCGGGGACCAGCCCAGCATGCCGTTCCCCGCTTCGGCCACCTCCATCAGCCTCCGAGTTCTGGGACAAGTTTCAGGTGTCTCTGAGCTCACTTCTCCCAGCTACAAACCTGGTGTGGCTTTAGTGTTTCAGGGCTGCTGAAAGCCTAGATTTATTTGAAGTGTTTTGAGGTCTTCAAGCTACTTTTACCAGCACAGTGAATTTCTTTCCTTTAGGAAAAAAAAAAGCATACCATAGAAGCTAAAAATAGGAGATAATAGTTTTTATCTAACCACAACCTTGTGCATTGCATAGAAAAGGCTTCCGACGGGACGTAAGGATGAAGCGGTTCATGGCCATGTTAAACAGGAATAAGAATAAGGATCCCCCACCGGCCAGGCTGCTGGATCTAGCAGGGCAGCTTTGCCGGGACCTCCAGAGCTCATCTAGTCTGGAGAAGCTGGTTGCAGCCATCATGGGATGCAAACACAAGATGTATTTTCTCACCAACATCCACGTTGTCCGAGCTTGTGTGTTCGTTCATATCCGTAACGGGCAGCATGACACAGCCTGCAGACTCCTGGAGGTAGGGATGTGTTCTTTGTTTCTTTGTGGAGACAAAAACCAGTATTAGAAAAATAGTAGTTAGAGCTGTTAGTGCAGAGGTACCCGAACTGCAGCACGTGGAGCGTTTCCAGCTGGTGTACAGCAGCGGAAAGCGATACGTGCGCACTGGTTGGCCTGGAACGCAGGAGCAAGCCTTTGCTACAGGCAGTTGCTATTAATCAGCCAAGGGGAAGAAGGTAATTGGGTGATTATGGTGTTGACTGTGGTTTGGGAAAGCAGGATTTTTGTTCCGTAGTGTGGTGGTTCTCGGAGTTTTTCACAAACTTAGGACTTAAGAGAAGTAAAAGCCTTGGCGAGGCCAAATTCAGAGGGCTTGCCAGGACGGGGAGGTATGAGGAAGGCTAGGTGGCACCACTCAAGGTGGGGGACCTGGTCACGTAGCCCTTTTCACCAGGGGGAAAGAAGGAGTTAGGCAGGCAACTCCCTGTGTACGTTAGAAAAGGTACAGCAAGCCGTATGCTTGGATAACGCTACCATCTTTGTCAAACCAGTAGGAATCTCTGAGTAAGTTGCTAGCTGTTGAGGGTTTTTTCCTTTATAGGAACCCTGACTGCCTGCCTGGAAAGGGTTTGCTTACATACTGTTCTGTTTCAGTACTGCAAGGCAGAAGAGAAGGAAGAGCTGGTGCAGCTTTGGCATGAGATTCACTACCGAAGGGTTATGGAGAAGCACCACACGGATTTTCTGACACCACTGCAGAAATTCCGTTGCAGGAAGAGGTATCGTGGTTTGGGGGAACAGATTTTTTTTTTTTTTTTTTTTTGTTTTTTTTTTTTTTTTTTTCTTTTGTGT